AGAAAATAAACAAAAATAACCATAAAAAATAAAAAGAATAGACCTTATGCTAATAAACAAGTAATCATAATAAAATTTAAAAAAAAACAAAAAAGGGAAACAAAGCCATTAGTAAGAGATTTTTTTGGTGGAGTAGGGAAAGAAAAGGAATGAGAGAAAGGAGGAAAATGAGGGGTGGTTCATGGCCAATTTAAGGTTGGTTCAGTCTGCATTGGTGCTACGGACCATTTAGTAGCAAACAATAGAGGGCCATGGCTAGTGTCAATTGGTGCAGGGATAAAAAAAAAAAAGTATGGTCGTGGTTTGAGAGAAAGGAAAAAGGAAAGGGAAAGGGAAAAAGAAAGAGAAAGAGAGAGAAGAAAATAAAAGAAAAGAGGGAAGAATAATTTTTAAAGTGATTATGCTTTAGCAAATGAATTCCATTGCTAAATGTTTAATTTATATGAAAATTTCAATTTTTTAAAGAAATTCTTCTTAAATTATATAAAACCATTAGCTATTGAATTTTCCTCTTTAAAAAGCTATATTTTGTCGTTAAAAGTCCAATTTAGATGAAAATCCAATTTTTGGTTAAAAAAATTATTCTTAAATTATCGAAGACCACTAATAACGAAATTTCTATCACTAATAAAAAATAAAAAAGATCTTTAAAAAACATTTTTTAAGTAAAATTGATTTTTGAAGGGAATTTGCAATAGAATTCTATTGTTTCATCACTAATATAGAAATAAAAATTATAAAAAATAATTTTATTTTTCTTAAAATAAAAACTAGTTCAAAGAACTAGTTATGAAAATTTTGTTGTCAATTTCGTTGATAATAAAAAAAATTATAAAAAAGTAAATTATTTTAATTAATACAAAAATTAGTTTAAAGGTAGTAGTGATGAAAATTTTATCGCTAATTTTGATATTATTCTTAGAATTTTAACACAACCCAATCACTAAAGAGTTTTTCTTGTAAATTTGGTGTTGTCCTTTTTTTTTTTCTTTTTTTTGTTTGCCTACATTATTTGTTATTTGGCTTGGATTAAATTATTTCAATATTTTTATTAGCTAAATTGAGTTGTAAAGATTCTATTAATATTTTGTCTTAAGACCTAACAAATAATTTATTAGTAATATCTCATTTATGAATAAGTTGATTTATCCATCATTTAAAGACTCCACTTTTAAGTTTATCCAATAGCTATATGTCATATCAAAGAATACAAATATTTGATATAAAATCTATGAGACAAGTAACACTTTAAAGGCCTACTAAATTTAAAAATTATTTAGCTAGCTAGTAAAAGTATGCATGCATGGACTTTAGATCTTTTTGAAAATTTCCTTTCTTTATACATAACATGTGTTAAGGTTTGCTTTGAATCTATTAATCCTACATCGAAAGCTGAGTAAAGTTATAAGGGTTGAAAGTTTGTTTTGTATCCCACATCAAAAGTTTAGTAAAGTTATAAAGAGTTTAACCCTTATAAATAAGATACTTTGGTTTTAGTTTGATAATCCCAAAATAGTTAGACACCAAAAAAATAGTTAAGTGAGTGGGCTATTAAAAATATGTAATTGAGCATTAGATTAAGTTTTGAATAAAAAGTTTTTGTGATTCCCTTGCTTATTCAAGCTTTGTTTCAAAATCTAAATATATTTTTTGAGTGCTTCATTTTCTTTTTGAGCCTTAGTGCATTCATTTTCTATCTGAGAATATTCCTCTTCAATTTTTTATTTTCACAACCCAAATTGGTGATGTTTATCTCTTTGGCTTTAACTTGAATTCATAATCTCTTGTGTTCTCGATGTGATTTTATTAACTCATTAAGGGCAGTGTCACTTTCTTTAGCCATCTTTTAGGCCATAGCCCTTTGTCTTTCTACCTCAGTAGTCATTTTCTTGCATTCTTTGCATAACCCTGACAAGTCACTAATAGTTGTGTCTCATTCTTTAATGATCTTCTTTATCTTGACCTCTTGCTTCATTGCTTCTTCTTTCATTTTCTCTTTTTCTTCTTGGAGCTTTTGAATTTCTTACTTCAATTTATTTTTCTCATACTCAAATTCTTTTTTTGTAAGCTCCAACTCTGAAGGTAACTTTTTCATATACTATTCCACTAACTGGCAAGACTCTCAACAAATCAATACAACTTTTTTGCCCTTTTTTGCCTTCATACTATATCTTTTGAAGTGACCCTATCAATAAAAGACCCAGACTCACCCTCTTAGACTTATTCGATGCCTTAATTATGCTATCAATCCTTTGAAAGGTTTTAGCTCACCATATAAACAGTCTAATTAATTCAACTTATGCGTCATGGGGACAAACTGGTCAGCTCTATATTGCTTTCATACTATGAAAGGTGCATAACTTGTTGATCCCCACAATCATAAAAGTGGGATCCCAACTTCATCTCCACATTGATACAACATAAGCTCTTGACTCATCCATAGGACTAACCACTGGACTTGACTACTTATCCCTTATAGAAAATACTTTCATTCCTTCTTGGTCTCCATTTATAGCCATTTGCTTTCATAGAATTCCCTAATAGAATTTTAATTACGATAATAGAGTTTGGAGAAAGCATTCTTTTTGCATTCGAAATGACTCTTCATCCATAGGTACAATAATAGTGTGCAACTTAAAAATCGCCCTTTATTATTTTGTCGATAATGATTCAAAAACCTAATAGTTTTTGCCAAAATTATTAGTGAAGGATTGCATCCTCTTTCTATTTGCTCAAACAAATCTACCACATTTATCTTAACATGTCCCAAAACTTTAGGAAATATCATGATACCATTTATGGCTAAGGTAAATACATTCAATCCATGTTCATCGTTTGGATGTTTTATAATGAAGTCACGAAGAAACTTTTAAAAAATGCCCTTATGTGCTCCTTTTTCTTGGATATGCGAATCTATAACCTCTTTGTTGACTCCAAAGATATAAGCTAACTTCTTGCGATACCCAGGCTTCTGTTTCTTTACATAAACTCTGTTCGGATGTTAGAGATGCATACCTACCAAAACTGAATACTCTTACATGGTTGGCACCATATCCACTTCATTAAAGATAAAACAACAATAAGAAGGATCCCAGAACTGCACCATTGCCTTTATAAGTGAACTCTCCACTTTCACTAACAAAAGGTATGCTAATGGCTAAATTTCTGACAGAAGGCTTGTTGTCTTAACAAGCTCATGTTTTTCCATATGGCTGTTAAATCTTGCCAATCATTTTGTTTAATGAGCAATCGGACTTCTTTAGGTAGTATTGAAACATAACCAGGTGGTAAACAATCTCCTTATTTCTATTCGATATTCTTTGATTCAATCTTCAACTCATTAGGCAACCATGGATAAAGCACATCGTTTGGTAAGATTTAACAGAAATCTGAATCCTCCCATCATTTAATAGGATTAAAAATTTAACAAAAATCTGAATCCTCTCATCATTTGATAAGATTAAAATTTTATTTTATTTTTTCTTAAAATCCATTATAAAATTCTTCAATCGTTTGGTAGAATTCATAATTTAAAAAAAAATCCTCTAATCATTTGGTAGGATAGAAATTTTATTATAAAAATTCCCCTTTGTACTGAATCTAATGGGGTATTTATAGAGTTTAAATTATGAAATCCCTAAACTAAAAAGAATTTCAATTTCTTTTTAGTTTAAATTTCGGACTTTGATTTCAACCTTCACTTCATAATCTCAAAAAAGCAATTCCAGATAAATTCAACTACTTCAAACTTTCCTTATTTTTTATTTTTTTTAACATTTAAAAAAAATAGTTACAACTCCAGACAAGTTGAAGTATCTACAAGTCTGAATGAAAAAGAACCTTGAATAAGCTTTGGAGATGCCAACGGATCCGGTCAACCAACGACATACAGGGGCAATGCATGATTTTTCTTGCTAAATGCTTTTTATCTTCAAAGAATAAAAGCAATAAACTAGCTCACTGCAAAATGTTAATGTAAAATATATGCAATTTTCGGATACAAAATAAAATGTAATTTAATTACCTCAAAATTGGAGGCATATTAAAGGACATAATCACCCCAAACATTAGGATGAAACATAGCTGACCGAAGATTGTTATCGGTTTTGTAACTTTGGGAAGGAGCAAGTTCTGCTGCTAAACCTGAACAGACATCCTGGTTTTGTTCTACTTGTTTAGCTAACCTGCCTATGTTGGGGGTGATGAAGGAGCTTTTTGGACTAGACGAATTTATAGACCTGTTGAATGCCAGTGGCATTGTTACATTTTCCACGTGGAAACTTTTTTATTTTCAAGTTTTTTTTTTTGAAAATAGAAATAAATAAATATATCAGTGTCTCAGTGTTACATGAGAATGAAACAAATAAAAATGACTCATCCTTTGAGGTAATAAAATTAATGGAGGAGACATGCCAACGAGAAAATAAACAAATATATGTACTCCACACATTTTCCTTCAAAATGAAATGAATGAAAGTCACCCATCCTTGAAAATAAATAAAATAATTCAAATGTTTAAATCATTTTTATTTTGTATAAAATATGAAAATTATCATATTATAATTTATATTAATATATCAAATATAAAATATATTTATTTATTTTTGTTAAAATCATATTATTTTTATTAAAATTTTAAATCGCATCGCTCTCATATATTTTTTATTATTTTTATATTAATATCTAATGGCATTTGTCACGTTTCTTGTTTTAATAATTTACAACAAAAATTAGAAAAGAAGAAAATTTCCTTCAATAAAAATTCTGCCGTTAAAAATAGAGTTGAATCCATTTAAATATATCAATGAATAGGATATGAGCTAGATAAAATATTCTCCATTCTAATCTTTATTTTTAATTTTTTATATTATATTCATTTTCATACTCATATCGAGTATTTCAAATTCATCGTCATTCTAATTTCCGTAAATATTAATGGTATCAAATTAACTTCTATTAGCAAATCAAATTAAGAACAATAAAATGAAAATCATACAACTTTTAATTCTGTCAGAACATAATAATTGTCCATTACAGGATAGGGCTCAACAATGTCTGTTATTTTAGCAGTTCATATTATATACCTGGATGCAGATAGGATTAAAATACAATTGGTTGATTCAATTCCGTATCATAAAGGCATTGGATCAATGAGCAGAGAAGTTACAGAATCTTTAAGTAGAACTTCCGAGAAAGTGTAGCCGTCTCCATCCTTGTATGCAACATCTATTACGCGAGCAAGATTAATAATACGCATGAGGAGTGGCATTGGGAGACTGGTTGGATTGAGACATTCTTCATTTATATCCTTCCATGCCTCAGACACTTGTCTGTAAAATTCATCTACTGCTTGTTGTCTCGTGGTGTCATGTTGTTTCATGTAGCATTCTACACTCGAAGCTACATGCCCTCGCTTTTGCTCAAACTGTATAAGCAGAAGTTTTAGAGTTAAAATTCATGAGGGAAGAAAAGGAAAGAAAATTTGAAGCCAAACAAAAACTAAGCTAGAAAAATTATGGACCTCATGGGAGACTATGTCATCAGTGAGTCTGCAAATTACTGAAGCAGCAGTAATCATTTTGGGATAACTAAGTATCCAATCAAAAACATCCTTGGTAACATTATCTCCCATTCCAACAAAAGATGTGGTTGATAGAAGTGAGTAGGTTGAAGTGCCTAATCCAACTGGCATGTACTCTTCCATTGTTGGAACATATTTGTGGTGAAACCACTTAGCTTCAATCCAGTAAGCTCTAGCCAGATTTTTGACCTGTGGACAACCAATGAAATCATCCTCAGTGAACTGAATAAATTAAAATAGTTGCTTTTTTGTGCAAGAATTTTTTTTGTCAGATTGAAAGCAAACACTTTCTTTTGGAATGTAAATCCAGGCTCACCCCTTCTTTAGCATAGTCAATCCGGTACAATTTCCCTTCATCGAGCATATTTTCTTTGATTTCATTGAAAACATCTAGGAGAGCCTCATAGAATACTTTCAAATACTTTGGCAGATGCTTTGTTGCACTGATATCCCAACTGAAAACAAAGTAGCCAACAATTAGAAACTGATTTAGACCTTTTGGTGGAAAAAATATACTAACGAACGAGTTCAGATGTCGAACATCTCAATTGCTTCAGTAAGGAGCTCGAGTTCTTCAATTGTTCCATGCACATCATAGATGTCATCTAGAATGGAAGTCATGGCCATTACTTTAGTCAATATTTTTCTGCCAAGAAAATATTCTGGCTCAAAGTACACTCCTAAAACCCAGAAGTAGCATTCTGTGATTCTGTCTCTAGCAAATGATAGCTTACTTGAAACATCTAAATCTTTCCACCACCTAAACAACATGAAAAACCAATCTCAGTGTATAATCCGATAAATTCAACTGACCCTTGTTTTATTTGGATGCTTTATGTTTCTGATGTTACCATGTAATGTCACGAAGTTCCTTCCGGTGCTGTTGTTGTAAAATGTTGAAATCTAACTTAGCAAACCTCAACAGAACTTCATTGTGTAGAGAATCTTCTTGGTACGAGGACACGTATCGCTTGGCCTCAAGCCTTGGTAAGTTTTTATGGAGAGGTTGCCGTAATGCATGACTTATCTGTTCTGAAAGAGGAGAGGGTGAGGTTGCAGCCATGGAATGAAGGTGAGTGGTAGTGAAAGCGAGTGCTTCTTCTAGTATATCTTCCCCATGAATCCTTAAATGTGTGGCTTCATACAAGCTTAACATTCCTCGAACATCACAGGTAAGGGATTCTTTGAAATTTCCTTGACCATCCTTAAACTTTTCGAACATGTCTGCTCCAAAATCCAACAAAAAATAAGCTACCGGTTGTTCAGTTGCATGACAAAAGGTGAAAAAGTTCATATAATCAACGCAGGTTAGAACAAGACAAAATTGCTCGTCTCAAAGCCACAATTTTTTATTTTATCATGTTTTCAAAACCAATTCTGTCATGCTTAAAGCAGACTAGGTACCGGAGAACTAATGGACATACCACATGAAATTCTATAGCCATGCTGTCTGAGTAACCGAAATCGAAGAGAAATGCTGTAAAGGCTATCATGTTTATCCTGATCACAGCAGTTGGAATCTATAGTTTTCATTTGTTGTAACATCTCATCAATCTCCCTTTCAAAATGGTAATGCACACCCGAGCGTTGAACTGAATCGATCAAGTCAAGTTTTGTTATAATAGGCTTATCAGAAACTGCCAATAGCATCTGTCTCACTTCCTCCTTCAGCTTTTGGTGCTCTATTCTGTATTCAGTTTCCTAGACAAAATGAAAGAGAGCCTTGAGTAAGCTTTAGAGATGCCAAACATGCAGAGGCAATGCATGATTTTTCTTGCTGAAAGCTTCTCGTCTTCAAAGAATAAAAGCAATAAACTAGCTAGCTGCAAAATGTTAATGTAAAATATATGCAATTTTCGGATACAAAATAAAATGTAATTTAATTACCTCAAAATTGGAGGCATATGAAAGGAAATAATCACCCCAAACATTAGGATGAAACAAAGCTGACCGACGATTGTTATCGGTTTTGGAACTTTGGGAAGGAGCAAGAGCTACTGCTGAAACAACAGACATCCTAGTTTTGTTCTACTTGTTTAGCTAACCTGCCTATGTTGGGGGTGATGAAGGAGCTTTTTGGACTAGACGAATTTATAGACCTGCTGAAGGCCAGTGGCATTGTTACATTTTCCATGTGGAAAACTTTTTTATTTTCATTTTTTTAAATAGAAATAAATAAAATATATCAGTGTCTCAGTGTTATGAGAATGAAACGAATAAAAATGACTCATCCTTTGAGGTAATAAAATTAATGGCGGAGACATGCCAAAGAGAAAATAAACAAATATATGTACTCCACACATTTTCCTTCAAAATGAAATGAATGAAAGTAACCCATCCTTGAAAATAAATATAATAATTCAAATATTCATATCATCTTTATTTTACGTAAAATATAAAAATTATCATATTATAATTTATATTAACATATCAAATATAAAATATATTTTATTATTTTTATTAAAATTTTAAATCATATTATTTTTATATTATATCTAAAATTGCTAGACTTACTTAAAAGCAAACTTTTTTTCTTAAGAAAATGACATTATATTATTTTCTGGAAATGGGAGATAATTGCACCATGAAAGTTGAGCCACTCAAATCAACAAAAAGCACTATATTTTGTCACATTTTCACAATGGATCAAATAAGTGGTTCAAATTTATGCCTTGACCTTCTTAATTTTTTGTGTCTCAATTTAGATCGTACAAGCCTCAAAATCATTGTCGACCAAGTTTTGCTAACGACTAATAATATCTAATGAAACTCGTTACGTTTCTTGTTTTAATAATTTACAACAAAAATTAGAAAAATGAGGTAAATTTTCTGCAATTAAAGTATAGTGAATCCATTTAAAGATGTCAATGGATAATATATAGATAGAATAAAATATTTTTTATTTTCATCCTTAGATTTTTAAATTATTTAATTTTTATTTTGATATTCAATAGGTATTTTAAATTCATTATCGTCTTAATTTTCCTATATATTTAATAGTTATGATTAGGGATGTCAATAGGTAGGGTATGAATAAGATAAAACATTCTTTATCTCCATCCTTAAATTTTTATATTATATTCATTTTCGTACTCATACTCAATAGATATTTTAAATTTATATCCATCCTCATCTCCATCTTACAAGTATTTAATGGATATGGATAATTCTCATACCTTTAACTTTTTAAAAAATAAAAACTAAAATTTATTTTTTAAATTTTTTTATTTTTATCTTGTATTTTTAAGTAATTTTTTATAAATATATATTACTATATATTTTTCAATAAAAATATATTAATTCTAATTAATCTAAAATAATAATTTATATTATTTAATAAAAAATTTATTTACAAAATATATATAAATATATATAGAGTACAGGTACCAAGCAAATATTGTATTACTCGTCTCTATCCCCATACCCAATAAAAATTTAAAATTATATATATATATATATCCTATCTCCATACCCATAATATAATACCCATTCCCATCTTCATTTGGATAAAAAGTCGGATTCCCCATTGGATACGGGTAATATTTACATTCCTATGTATGATAATACCATATTTGTAGTTTTTTTTTAAAAAAAAATTTTAACTTTTATCTTGCATATTTATGTAATTTTTTTATAAATGTATATTTTTTAAATACAAATATATTGGTTCTAGTTAATGTAAAATAAAACTTATATTATCAAATAAAAAATTAATTTATTAAATACATATAAATATATATAAACTACAGATATTAGACGAATACTATATAACTTATTATGTACCCTTATAAAAAAAAAAAATTTTCAAATCATGCACACTCCCTTTCTCATATTCAAAATTAATATTCATCTCCATTTCTATTAAGGTAACAAAATCAAATTTTTCATCAGGTTTAACCTAAATCTATTAGTAAAGGTAAGATATTCATGAATATTCCAAATTTTTAAAAAACAAAAAAATTAAAAAAAAATCGTAAGACACTCAAAATTTTCCTTTGAACACCTTTTCTTTTAATAAAATTAATAAATACATCATTAGTTATATTTATATATATATATATATACAAATTGTATTATTTTCTAGAAATGGTGGGAGATAATTGTAACGTGAAAGTTGAACTACTCAAATCAACAAAAATCACTATATTTTGTCACATTTTCACAATGGACCAAATGAGTGGTTCAAATTTATGCTTTGATCTTCTTAATTTTTTGTGTTTCAGTTTAGATTATACAAACCTTAAAATCATTGTCAACCAGGCTTTGCTGACAAGTAATATCTAATGGCATTTGTCACGTTTCTTGTTTTAATAATTTACAACAAAAATTAATAAAAGGAAAAAAATTCCTTCAATAAAAATAGAGTTGAATTCATATAAATATATCAATAGATATGATATGAATTAATTAAAGTATTTTTATTTTATTTTTATTTTAATTTTTATATTATATTTATTTTCATATTCATATCGATTATTTCAAATTTATCATCATTTTATTTTTCGTAAATATTAATGGTATCAAATTAATTTTTATTTGCAAATCAAATTAAGAACAATAAGCAGAAGTTTTAGAGTTAAAATTCACGAGGGAAGAAAGGAAAACAAATTTGAAGCCAAACAAAAACTAAGATGGAAAAATTATGGACCTCATGGGAGACAATGTCATCAGCGAGTCTGCAAATTATTGAAGCAGCTGTAATCATTTTGGGATAACTAACTATCCAATCAAAAACATCCTTGGTAACATTATCTCCCATTCCAACAAAAGATGTGGTTGACAGAAGTGAGTAGCCTGAAGTGACTATTCCAACTCCCATGTACTTTTCCATTGTCGGAACATATTTGTGTGAAACCATTTATGGTAATAAAATTAATGGAGGAGACATGCCAAGGAGGAAACAAACAAATATATGTACTCCACACATTTTCCTTCAAAATGAAATGAATGAAAGTCACCTATCCTTGAAAATAAATATGATCATTTATAATTTATATCATCTTTATTTTATGTAAAATATGAAAATTATTATATTATAATTTATATTAATATATCAAATATAAAATATATTACATTATTTTTATTAAAATTTTAAATCGTATCATTTTTATATATTTTTTATTATTTTTATATTATATCTAAAATTACTAGACTTCCTTAAAAGCAAACTTTTTTTCTTAAGAAATTGACGATATATTATTTTCTAGAAGTGGTGGGAGATAATTGTGCCATGAAAGTTTAACAGCTCAAATCAACAAAAAGCATTATATTTTGTCACATTTTCACAATGGATCAAATTTATGCTTTGATCTTCTTAATTTTTTGTGTCTCAATTTAGATCATACAAGCCTCAAAATCATTGTCGACCAAGTAATATCTAATGAAATTTATCACATTTCTTGTTTTGATAATTTACAACAAAAATTAGAAAAAGGAGGTAAATTCCTTTAAAAAAAAAATTCTGGAGTTAAAAGTATAGTGAATCCATTTAAAGATGACAATAGATAATATATAGAACAAATAGAATATGTTTATTTTTATCTTCAAATTTTTATATTACACTTATTTTTTTATATTCATATTAATACTTATTTTAAATTCTTTATCATCTCAATTTTCTTATATATTTAATAGGTATGATTAAGGATGTCAATAAATAGAGTATTGGTAAGGTAAAGCATTTTCCATCTCTATCTCCATATTTTTATATTATATCCATTTCATTTTCATACGCATGCTCAATAGATATTTTAAATTTATCTATATCCCTTATCTTGCTAGTATTTAATGGGTATGGAGTAATCCTCGTACCTTTAATTTAAAAAAAATAAAAACTCAAATTTATTTTTTTAATTTTTATCTTATATATTTAGGTAATATTTTTTATATAAATATATATTAATATTTTTTTAATAAAAATATATATTAATTATAATTAATCTAAAATAATAATTTATATTATTTAATAAGAAATTTATTTACTAAATATATATAAGGTACAAGTACGGGTATGAGGTAAGTATTATATTACCGTCTCTATCCCCATACTCAATAAAAATTTAAAATCATATCTATCCATATCTTCGTACTCATAATATGATACATATTTTCTTCCTCATTTGGATAAAAGGTCTAATTTTTCATTTGATACGGATAATATTGACATCCCTAAATATGATAATACCATATTCTTAGCTTTTTAAAAAATATTAAAAAATTAATTTTTATCTTACATATTTATGTAACTTTTTATAAATATATATTTTTTAAATACAAATATATTGGTTCTAATTAATGTAAAATAAAATTTATATTATTAAATAAAAAATTAATTTATTAAAAATATATAAATATATATATACTACAAATATTAGACGAAATGCTATATTACTTATTATGTATCATTACAAAAAAAAAAAAAATTCAAATCATACTCACTACCGTTTTCATATTCAAATTTAATATTCATCCCCATTTCTATTAAGATAAAAAAAAAAATCAAATTTGTCATCAAGTTTAAGTAGGAGTGGTGACCCTAAATCTATTAACAAAGGTAAGATATTCACAAATATTTCAAATTTTTAAAAAACAAAAAAAATTCATAAGACAATCACAATTTTCCTTTGAACACCTTTTCTTTTAATAAAATTAATAAATCCATCATGAGTTTTATATATATATATATATGTTGTATTATTTTCTAGAAATGGTGGGAGATAATTGTAACATGAAAGTTGAACCACTCAAATCAACGAAAAGCTCTACATTGCCACATTTTCACAATGGATCAAATGAAAGGTTCAAATTTATGCTTTGATCTTAACTTTTTGTGTCTCAATTTAGATCGTACAAGTCTAGAAATCATTGTCAAACAGGCTTTGCTAACGACTAATATCTAATGGCATTTGTCACGTTTCTTGTTTTAATAATTTACAACAAAAATTATAAAAAGAAAGTAAATTCTTCATTAAAAATTCTGCAATTAAAAGTTGTATGAATCCATTTAAAGATGTCAATGGATAAAATATGAAACGAA